GTAAGAGATGAAGTGACAGAAATTTCCTGTTGCGTCTAACAAACCTTCCATTCCGGGTAACGTTGGGCGCTGAGGCTGGCTTTGCCTTCCTCTCTTGCATACAGGCTGTCTGCCACAGCACCTAGTGTCCTGTTCTTATGCAATCAGGCACCCGAGACAGGGGCCTCCCTCATGCAATCATCTTGTCTCTCTAAAGAATTCTAGAACTGCCCAAACCTAGCTCTAACTAACTCTGGGTTGCGAAGCATTCTGGGAAAGTGACCTCTTGTCGTTTGGCCTCTTCTCCATGAGGGCTTTATCAGCAGCAGGGAAGCACAAGCAGGGGAGAATGAACAGAAGAAAAGCAGGGGAGGGGAGCATTAGCGGACTCGCCTCGGACCCACTAGAACCCACCTGAGAGAAGATGGCTTCTGAGACCATGCCTTCTCAGGCATCCAAATTTGGGAAAAGGTTTCTGATTGGTCCTGCTTAGGCTTTCGATGGCCGGCTTAAGTCCGGCAAGTGTGCTGTAGGGCTCTCCCCATCCCCTCCAGACACCCTGGAGACCCAATCCCTTTCTTGTCCCTATGGCAAGTGAACCTCGAATGTACACTTCTTTAGTCAGGGACACAGGAGCCTTTGATGGATGGTCCTGCAAGACCTGCACATCAGGGGAAGGAAGGGGCCTCCAGATAGCTGGCATAGCCCACCATTGACTCCTTGAGGTTTATTTACAACCGCCCTCTCATACACTGAGACACATTCTCCCACCGTGGAAACCAGAGACCGACACAGCTGCTGCTCTTTTGATCTGTCAGCTGGGACTTCAAAATGGTGGACTGAGCACACAGGAAATCTTCTTCCAGGACCAGAAGTCAGGAGTCAGGGTGTGTTCGGTTGCTTCCTCCCATGGCCCTGAGGAAGAGTCCAACCCATGCTTGTCCCTCGGCAGCTGGCGGAGGTGGGCAAGCGCAGCCTTGCATAGCTAGCCTGCGTCTCTGCAGTCTAGGTCTGTTCTTTGTGACCCGTCTGTTTGTTTTGGGGGACAGGATCTCATGTAGCTCAAGCTGGCTTGAAGAAGGCATCATGTAGCTGAGAATGGTCTTGAGTCCCTGATTCTTTAGCCTGTACCTCCTGAGTGCTGGGGTGACAGGCGTGCGTCACCATGCCCAGTTTTAGCCTGTACTTCCTGAGTGCTGGGGTGACAGGTGTGCTCCACCATGCCCAGTTTTGTGAAGTTGGAACGGAACACAGAGCTTCCTGCATGCTGAGCAAGCCCTCCTACTGAACTATACCCCAGCCTCACTGCTTGTCTGGTATAAGAACATCTGCTATTAGATGTGGGACCACTCTAAAACCAGGATGATTTTATTTGGAGATCTTAACTGTCTCTGTCACAGCCCTGGCCCGGGTTCTGATGCTGAGGACATGGCCGTCTCTTGAGCACTATCATGGCACTATGACACTACCCCAGCTCTAGAAACTCAGTTTATTTTAAATCATTGTTTGTTTTATGTGTGTGTGGGGTGCCTGTGTGAGGACAGACTCCAACAGCTGGTTGTCTCCTTCCACCATACACCCAGGGAATCAGACTCATTGGTCATCAGGCTTGGGAGCAAGGGTTTTGCCCATCATGGCATCCTATCATTCCCTCCCCTCCCCTCCCCTCCCCTCTCCTTTCCCTTCCCCTCATCTCCCTTTCTGTCCTTTCCGCTCTCCTCCCCTGCAGCCTCCTCCCCTTCCTCTCACCTCCCTTTCTCCTCCTCTCCTCCCTCCCTCTCTCTCTCTCCCAGGCTGACTCATGGTGATTCTCCTGCCACAGCCTCCCAAGTGCTGAGATCATAGCCATGAGTGACCATACCTTTTGAAGATGAGCCAGTATTCCATTACCTGCCCCGTTTTAGCCTGTACCTCCTGAGTGCTGGGGTGACAGGTGTGCGCCACCATGCCCAGTTTTAGCCTGTACCTCCTGAGTGCTGGGGTGACAGGCGTGCGCCACCATACCCAGTTTTAGCTGTACCTCCTGAGTGCTGGGGTGACAGGCGTGCGCCACCATGCCCAGTTTTAGCTGTACCTCCTGAGTGCTGGGGTGACAGGCGTGCGCCACCATGCCCAGTTTTAGCTGTACCTCCTGAGTGCTGGGGTGACAGGCGTGCGCTGCCATGTTTTAGCCTGTACCTCCTGAGTGCTGGGGTGACAGGCGTGCGCCACCATGCCCAGTTTTAGCCTGTACCTCCTGAGTGCTGGGGTGACAGGTGTGTGCTACCATGTTTTAGCCTGTACCTCCTGAGTGCTGGGGTGACAGGCGTGCGCTGCCATGTTTTAGCCTGTACCTCCTGAGTGCTGGGGTGACAGGCGTGCGCCACCATGCCCAGCTTTAGTTTTAATAAACCCTCTGTTCACCTAGTCATCTAGCATTTTTACATTGCACCTTGACAACTGGAGCCTGACCCCAGCCAGGGCTGTGTGGGCTCTGTGCACGGTAGCAAAGTCTTCTCTTCAGCGCCACTCACTCATCTGGTGAAAGACTCTTAAGTGACTTCCTCTCGCCCTTTGGTATTTGGTAGCTGGAAATGGTGGTGCACACTGTATCCCAACACTTGGGGAGACTGAGACAGGAAGAGCAGGGGTTTAAGGCCAGCCTGGGCTACCTAATAAATTGAAGCCTGTCTGAAGTACACAGGACCCTGTCTCAAAACAAACTACACATTTTATTATACATAAACCAAACCTCATTAAGGTTGTCTGAAAACAAACAAACTTATGGGGCTAGAGGGGCAGCTCCCTGGTTAAAAGTGCTTGCTGCTCTGAGAGGACCTGATTTTGTTTTCCAGCACCCATGTCTGGCAGCTCAGCCACCTGTAACTCCTCCAGCTCCAGGGATCTGATGGCCTCTTCTAGCCTCTGTGGGCATCTGCATTCATATGCACATACGTAGATCTTCCCCCAAATTCAGACTTTCCTCCTATTGTTACAGCAACCTAACAGAGGGCATCCCGGCTCTGAGTGCTGAGATCCTTTTCCAGACTAAGTTCTGAAGCCAAGGGTGATCAAAAACTGATTGGGCAGATCTGGCACACAAATCCCTGGTAGAGCATACCCAAAGCATGTGGCTTTGGGATGAGAAGGGATGAATTGGGAATCGGGGATCAAGGGAATTAAGAGGCCAGTGAGACGGCTCATCGAATAAAGACACCGCTGCCAAGCCTGATGATCTGCGTCTGATCCCAGAGACCAACGTGGTGGAGAGAGACAGCCAACCTGGCAACTTGTCCTCGGCCCTCCACACAGCACACCAAGCAGTGGACACACACAAATGAGTGTAATTTTCAAAAACAGAATCGAAGAGTTGCAAATTGTGAAGAAATCGTTGCAAAGCACAGCAGGTAAAGGATTGCTGCCCAAAATGTATACACAACCCTGAAAACTCTGCATCAAGAAAGACAGCCCAGCCAGGCACAGCGGGCCATACCTGTCACAGCAATGAGGTGATGGAGGACAGAGGAGCAGGAGGGCAGGGCCAACCTCAGTTATACAGCAAGTCCAAAGTCAGTCTCGACTACATGAGACCAGACTGAAAAACCAAGCAAAAATAAAAACCTAGATAACTCAACTTACAAATGAACAAAAGTCCCAATCTTCACTAAAGATACACAGATGTCAAACAAATGCCAGTTACACTTTTTGTGCCTATGACAAAATTTGTGATCAAACAAGGGAAGGAAGGTTTATGTGGGGTCAAGTTCCATCCCATCTTGGTGGGGCACATCTGCTCATGTCACGGAAGGCAGAAAGCAGAGAGAGTGCCTATGTACATATGATGCTCCGTCCAGACCCACAGCGCACAGTGCCAATGGCGGTCACACCAAGGGTGGACGGATCTTTAGTTAGTCCTTTCTGGAAACATCCTCACAGACACTCAAAGGTGTGTCTTATGAATTCGCTAGGTGTGTCTGAATCCAATCAAGGTGACCACCAAGACTGTGAATGTCTGTAACTGAGGAAACAGCTCAGTCCATGAAGCACATGCCGCTCAAGCGTGGGGACCAGAGTTCAGATCCCCAGCTCCCGCATGAGTGCACCTGCAACCTTGCATGGCTGGGGAGGCAGAGACCTGCCAGTGTATCTAAAATGTCAGGCTCGGGATTCAGTAAGAAATCCTGTCCAAAAACAAAACAAAACAAACAACACCAACAAAACCAAGGTGGAGAGTCCAGCGCTCTGGTGCAGAGGCAGATACCTGTGAGTTTGAGACCAGTCAAAGCTATGTAGAGAGACTCTGTTTCCAAAACAAAACAAAAACAAGTTGGGGGGGCAATTGAGGAAGACACAGGATGTCAAGCTCTGGCCTCCACACACACACACTCATGAATACACTCACCTGCACACACATGCATCCACATTCACATACCACACACATGCACAGCATTTTAAAAATATTAATTATCATCGCAAACATATGTAAGGACTGCTGAGATAGCTCAGTACATGAGGGTGCTTGTCACCAAGCCTGATGACCTGAATTTGATCCCCAGAACCTACAGAGTGCAAGGAGAGAGCTGACTCCTGCAAATTGTCCTCTGACCCCCGCATGTGTGCTGTGGCAAGAACACACACACTAAAATTTAAACTCAGTAAGTATTTTTAATACTGTATGTCATCAGCAAACTGCAAATTAAAACAATAAAACCCTCCTGCCACGCAGGAGAATGCCACGCCCAAGGCAACTTTTATAAAGGAAAGTGTTTACTTGGGGGCTTGCTTACAGTTTTTGAGAGCTAGTCCATGATCATCATAGAGGCAAGCTAAAAACTTTAAATCCTGTTCCACAGACAGCAGGCAGAAAGGGAGGGAGGAAGAAAGTGAGTGAGGAAGGGGAGAAAAAGGAGGGAGAGAGGGAAGGAGGGAGGGAGAGAGAGACACACAGAGAGAGAGAGACAGACAGAGAGAGAGAGGGAGAGAGAGAGAGGGAGAGAGAGAGAGAGGGAGAGGGAGAGAGAGAGAGAGAGAGAGAGAGAGAGAGAGAGAGAGAGAGAGAGAGAGAGAGAGAGAGAGAGAGAGAGAGAATGGAGACTGACTTCAAAGCCCAAACCCACAGTACCTCCTACAATAAAGCCACCCTCCTCCAACAAGGGCATACTGCCTCCAAAAAGTCCACACACCCCCAACAAGACACAGCTCCTAATCTTTCCCAAGCAGTTCAGCTGGGGACTAAACATGTAAACATATGAGCCCATGGGGTCATTCTCTTTCAAGCCATCATTGCCTCAAATCCAAGACATCAATATCACCAAATGCTTGTGAGGGTATGAAGTACCACAAATGCTCCTTTGTTGCAGGTGGGAATGCCAAGCCACAAGGCTGTTCTTGAGGACACTTTGGCCTTTTTCTCACAAGAACTAAGCACACTCGTAATACCTGGAATGTCTGCAGCGCTCCTCGGCATTAACCCAGAAGAGTTAAACCATGTTAGAATGTTTGTGGCAGTTCTATCCACGATCACCAGAGCTTGGAGGCAACAACAAAAATGTATTAGCTACTCTATTCATTGCTGTAACAAAATTACCAACCAAAGCAGCTTAAGGAAGGAAGGGTTCATTTTATCTCCGTGAGAGCACAGCCCAGCCTGGTAGGGAAGCTACTTGAAACAGTGAGCCACATTGTACCCGCAGTCAGGAAGAAGAGAGACTTGAATGACTGCCTTCAACTCCCTTTCTCCCTTCTGCTCAGTCCTAGACCACCAGCTCATGGGATAGGACTGCCTGCAGTTAGGGTGGGCCTTCTCACCTGGCATAACCCAGCCTGGGTAAGTCCTCCGGGACACGGCCGGGGCCGGCCTAACCTGGATAGCCCTCACAGGTATGGCTAGAATCTTGTTTCCATGGTGACTAGATCCTGTCACGCTGACTGAGATTGCCCAGCGCATCACTGTTAATGCGGCCTTACCAGCTGAAACAAATGTCTCACATTGCTGTGAAGATATTAATACTAGCAGAAGTTGGGGAGGGAGGTGGTGAGGGGTGAATGAGACTCTCTGTACTTTCACTAGATTTTTTTTTAAAGCCTACAACTGGTGATTTTAAAAATCAATTATTGGGAAAGAAAATCATAGATAACAGCTGTTAGGCAGAAACGACAGATGTCTAGACCTAGGTCCACGTTGAGGTATCGACTCTGAGTGGACACTTTTGGTCACATGGCGAGAAGAGATAATAATAACATCCTTTGCATGTTCAAGGACTTGAGAAAAGGCTCCTGACTTCCTGCTGGTGATAGGTCGCAAAGCCCGCGGTGTGCCGGTGCCGGTGCTGGCCAGCAGAGAGGGAGTCAATCGCCTGCCAAAGAGCCCGGCGTTCTCCGGTGTCCTCTGGCGGCAGGCACGGGAGAAAGCCGGCCCTCGGCTGACTCAGGCCGAATTCCGGTGTCATGGCCGACGCTCCTCACACTCCCTGAGGAGTCTAGTCACTTTCGATCTCCACGAGGACCTCGCTCGCTGCCAGGAGAGAGGAAAAAAATGAAAGGAAGCGCCCGAATTCTTGGACATCCAATCAGAAACCCGCATGAAGGCAAGCCTTGTCAATCAGATTAGCGGAAATAGCGCGAGGATGCCATTGGATAGTAGGGTTGCCATGGCGACACGAGTGCCTGGAGTTCTCCGCTAGCGCCTGGTGCTTGGCAACGCATGGCCACCCCCCTAGTGAAAGACGGCCAATAAGTGGGACCTGTCCTCCGTGACGTCAGTAGTTGCCAAGGCAGCTAGCAGAAACACGTGAGCTTTCCCTCCCCCTTCCCCTAGAAAATTTAGGGCCATTGCGCATGAGTCAATGCTCCCATGTGCTTGTTTTTCGACAAAAGGCGGGAAAGTGTGTGAGACGAGGAGATGAGGGGAGAGATAGGGACAGCCAGAGCAACTGCCTGCCTGATGGGTGGCACTCCAGGAGAAAGCAAATGGCCTTTTAAAAGTCCTACTGAGGGACAGAAATACAAAGAGAGACCCCAAGACACAGACTGAGAGAAGCCGCTATTCAGTGACACAGACCTCCAAGCGGGAGGTGACACCGGAGCCAGGCGATGTTGGCTGTGATGAGAAAGGACAGAGGGAGTGCTTAGGAAGATGGAAGGGACAGAGCTAGAGTCCCGTCACACTAGGGTCTAAGAACAGGGTCAGGACAGAGAAAAACAGAGAGGATGGAGCCAGACGTGGTGCTGACTCGGGGAGAAAGGTCAGAGCTGAGGAAACAGAAAGGACCACGCTTGGGGCAGCTGAGACCACGTTTCCCAGGCCAAGATACAGATTAGGAGGTCTAAGAATAGCGTCAGAGGGGCTCAAGTACCGTAAAAGAGACGGGGGGGGCAATCAGCTAAGACCAAGGAGACAGTGACAAAGGGCACAGAGATAAAGGGGAGCAGACAGGCTGGAGAGGTGGCTCAGAGGCTGAGAGCCCGGGCTGCTCTCCCAGAGGTCCTATTCCCAGCACCCACATGGCAGCTCACACCTGTCTGCAACCCCCGTTCCAGGGGGCCTGGTATCCTCACACCAACGCACACACAGTATTTAAAGGGGGGCAGAGAGAGGGGACGGTGCGAGAGACAGAGAGACAGGCCCAGGGGCGATCCCCTCGTGGAGAGCAAGAGCAGAGAAGGTGGGGTTGGCAGAAAGAGCACAGGAAAGAGAGTCAGAAGCAGGAAAGGCGGCGGCCGTAGAACACAGGCGTCAGGGAGCAGAGCGGTGCCGGGGAGAAGAGGGCACAGTTGGAGAGCCAGGGTGTTAGCCGAGGGGCGGAGATACACCGGGTGGGGGCGCTCGGCGAGTTGGGAGAAGGAGGAGAAGTTGAGGAATGGAGAGGGAAGGAAGCAAAGGTGTAGCGGTGACAGGCGACACCGGTCAGCGAGGTGGGGTGGCAGACATCCTCAGGGAGAGAATGGCTGAGGTGCTCCAGAAAAGACATGGACACGAAGACAGGTCAGAGAGGAAGAGGGTGCCTGTGACAGACAGAAGCAAAGCCGTGGGTCTCCACCAGGGGGAGTGAGAAGGCGGGTCCCCACAACACCCACCACTCAGCCTGGCGGATCTCCAGAGGTACCAAGGGCCAGGGACGCCTGAGACTCCTCTTTGAGTTCCTTGGGCAAGTTGTCACCTTAAGTTGCTATCCGTTATGTGGAAGCTCTCCACCCAGCTTCTAGATTTGTGACAATTCTTCCGGTCCTCTGGTCTTTTTTTCTGTGACCCGAACAGGGGTGGGCAGAAACACATGGGGGTTATTTTCTTGATTCATTTGACAATTATTGACCATGTATACAATGATGTGTCAGATCTTCTAGGAGCTAGGGAGAGCAGGGAGTAAAACACATGTAGTCACGCTGCTTTCAACCTTGCTGGGACCAAATGAGCATGTAATGTCAACAGGGTTAAGAAAAATTAAGCAATTGAAGTTTCTGATAATGGCTGGCTGGGTGATTCAGAGTGGTCATTCAGTAATTAAAAATACCAGGTACCTCCGGGCGTTGGTGGAGCACGCCTATAATCCCAGCACCCGGGAGGCAGAGGCAGGCGGATCTCTGTGAGTTCGAGGCTAGGCTGGACCGACAGCCTCCAAAACAATACAGAGAAACCCTGTCTCGTAAAAACCAAACAAAAAAAAACACAAAAAAAAACAAAAAACAAAACAAAAAAACAAAACAAAACAAAACAAAAAAACCAGGTACCTTTCCCCCTTTACCTTAAGAGCACTGAAGGTCTCACAGGATATATCAGTGTAACTGAGAAATCAGAGTAGGTCCACCCTGTGGGCATGATACAATCCTTGACAACTGAAGGTTCATTCTCTTTCTTCTTTTTTTAAAGTCATTTTTCAAGACAGTGTCTCTCTGTGTAGCTTTGTAGATCAGGCTGGCCTCCAACTCACAGAGATCCTCCTTCCTCTGCCTCCTGAGTGCTGGGACTAAAGGTGTGCGCCACCACCGCCCAGACAAAGATTCATTTTCATGGCATTTCAGAGATGGGGATAAAGTCAAGGGTTCTGTTCTCTCCCAAGGCAGAGTTCACATTCAACTTCGGGAACAGTGACTGTACTTTCAGGACAAAGGGAGCTAGATGTCAGTTGGTGATTGTTTGTGGCCCTAACACCCGGCATGTGGTGACGGCTCAGTGGATCAGGTGTTTGTTGTGCAAATGTGAGGAGCAGAGTTCCATCCCCAGGACCCACATAAAGGCCACACTCACGAGGCAGAGAGAGGGCATGCCTGGGTCAAGCTCCTAGCTAGAGTAGTTACCTCTGAGTTTGGTGAAAGACTCTCCCCGCTTAGTAAGGTCCTCCCTTCTTCAAAAGGCTGTAGAGGTGGGATCTAGGCTTCTTTAAGTGACTTTGCAAGTATATCTTTCTAACAATTGGTCTCTAAATTGTGTGTGTGTGTGTGTGTGTGTGTATGGTGTATATATGTGTGTATGGGGGGGTGAGCCACGCAGAACAGAGGTCAGTGTCCACAGGGGAAAAAGCCTACCTACATTTATGTTTTTATACATATATTTCCATGCAGAATATGCTCAGGTAATAATGGATTGTCCTCATGTGTGCATTAGGTGATAATATATCTATATCTCCAATGCTTAGTGTTGTAGAGTAAATAAGTGACTGCTGTTGTTTGGGTCAGTGTGTGAATGTTTAATGTGAACAGAGCTGTACTGTACACAGTGTTATGCAGCTTCAATTTTTAGCTCTACATTTTGTTTTAGAAATGTATCCAGATGATGCCAGGCATAGTGGTGAATGCCTTTAATTCCAGCACTTAGGAGACAGAGGCAGGTGGAAATCTGTGAGTTCAAGGCTAACCTGGTCTACAGAGTGAGTTCCAGGACAGCCAAGGCTACACAGGGAAACCTTGTCTTGAAGAAAGAAATAAAAGAAGAAAGAGAGAGAGAGAGAGAGAGAGAGAGAAGGAGGGAGGGAGGGAGGAAGATAAATGCACCCAGATAAATTTAAAGATCACTAACCTGTGCCTTGTAAAAGTAGCAGTGGTATCTCAGAACCTCCCTGTGTTTGGATTTGTATTTTCATCTTCTTTTGCTGGACATCTGGGTACTTCTGGGTTTCCTACAATGATGAATAGTACTGCTGTGAGCATCACTGCTAAGATTTCCCTGAGGACATGTCTGTCTGCTCAGGGTCAGAAGAAGAGGCAGCATCACCAGCCATACTTGCTTGAAGCAGAGGTGCCCTGCCATCCCAGCACTCAGAGGCAGAGGCAAGAAGATCATAAACTAGAGGCCAGTCTAGACCACATAACCTGTCACTAACTTTAAATAAATAAATAATAAAATGTTTTCTGCCTGCTCCACTTCATGGAGCAGGATCCTCTAAAATCATGTATATGCAGTCAGTCTCCATGGAAACGCACAGTGCTGCTGTCACAGCCCTGTCCTTGTGGGATTCTGTGCCAACTGACACCCAAAGAAGGGAAACGAGAGGGCGGTGTGCAGCATGGGCGGGCAGGTGAATGTGTATGCATGTGCATGCATTAAAGCGTGCCGTGTGCATGTGCGTGTGTGTGGTGAGTGACTCCAGTGCTCACCTTTGTAGGTTAGCGACAGTGCATATTTCTCGGCTCAAGTAACTGAAAAATCTCTAGACTTCATATTCAGCTTCAGGAATGGCTGCATCAGGCAGGCATCTGAGTGCTATGATCATGAATATGTCCCTCGCCCGGCCTGGTGGCACGGGTTTGTCACGTAGGGACTAAAGATGAGGGAGAAGGATTGAAAGTTCTAGGCCTGGGTTGAGAGAGATGGCTCAGCTGTTAGGGTCACTTGGCCCTGCAGTGAGGACCTTAGGTTTGCCTCAGTGGCAGAGTCCTCACGAGAACTTCCCACTGGCTTAGTAAGAGAGAGCCTCCCTGACCTAGGAGAGGCCCGGGGTTCCATACCTCACACCACCCATACACACTGTGTTCCTCGTTCTCAGGCCAGAATGTCAGCTGACTTGCAAATTACAATAAACAAAGATGTGTGTGACCCGGGATGTACGTGTACAAAAGCCTCGAAGTCAAACAGGTGCATTCAAGAGCACATTCCCCTTACTCCACTAGCCAGTCCTGCTAGGACCACGCTTGACAAGAGGAACATGGGCCAGAGTTGCCCCCGGCTTGATGGAGTGTGCACAGCTGCCATGAGCACAGCAAGTGGCCACTGCCATCTGCAGTCACCCTCTTCCCACATAGTAACCCCAGGACCAACGCCCCTTCCCTGGTAACCAGGAAGGGCTCGGGGAATCAGTCCAGGCCTGAGCCCTGCATATGCCCCTCTGGTATAAGCCAATCAGAGAGGGAGAAGAGCTGTCAGGGCTCAGGGGAGGTCACCAGTGGAGAAGCCTTGTGCAAGAGCAGAGGCAGGGGTGTGGACAAAAAGGTGGGTGCAGCCGTCGCTGCTGCAGAGATGTCTGGCCAGAGGTCAGGGACGTGCCGCTCCCTAGAAGCCCAGCAGCTGGGCCCCAAAGGGCAGGGAAGACCAGCTTCTCTTGCTCTCAAATTTGATCTCATTATTTTGTTTGCTTTGACTTTTTTGTTTGTTTTGTTTTTCTTTGTTCATTTTGTCTGTTTCTGAGACCGGGTCTCACTATGTAGCCCTAGATGACCCGGAAATCAATATGTAGACCAGGTTGGCCTCAAAACTCACAAAGATCTTCCTGCCTCAGTTCTGTGAGTATTTCCTTCATGTATGAATTGAGTTACCAGATCAACAGAAGTTTTCTTCGAAAGCCAAAGTGGGGGAGGATGAGACCTAAGTTCAAACTCCAGAACCCATGCCGAAAAAGAAAAAAAAAAAAAAGACAGGCACAGTAGCAGCACTTTTAACCCCAGCACCGGGGAGGCAGAGACAGCCACACAGCCCCACATGCCAGATGTGGAACATGAAATTGTAATTCTAGTACCGGGGAGGGACACACACACACACACACACACACACACACACACACACACACACACACGGTGCAGAGCACCACATTGTAATCTCAGCACTGGGGAAATTACTGTCCTTTCAGACAGCAATATGACTGGCAGTCCATCTCATACAGAGGGAGAATGTCCACGCCCTTAAGTGCACCAGATCCCGTTCCTAAGACTGCGAGCAAGTCAGGCTGCCTGTATATGAAGGCGGCTTGTATCGTGTGCATAAAAGCATGATATGTTTATAATAGTCTTCCAAACGTGAAATGACTGCCATCACCAACTAGAGGGGGCAACTGCATTATCTGGACTGTGCTAGCCAAGGGGCAGAGTGTTGCATGCATTAAGGTGAAACTTTGAAGGATGCACCAGTGTAGTACTGGCATCAGGCAGGCCCAGGGCCCAGGCCGAGAGCAGTGCTTTATAACAAGTGTGAGCACCGCGGCGCTGGGGAGATGTCTCAGTGGGCAGTATGCTTGCCTTGCCCGCATGAGGATCCACCTTCAGATCCCCAACACCCATGAAGACATTGACTGTGGCGTGTGCATCTGTAACCTAGTGCTAGGGAACACAGAGAGGCCAACCCCCTGCAGCTACCCAGCCTAGTCAGTGAGCCCTAGGTTCAGTGAGAGACCCTGCCTCAAAACCAAGGTGGTGAGCAACTAAGGAGAAGTGCTGGGATTCAAGACATACACCACCACGCTCAGCACTATTTAAAACATGGAGAGCACACAGGGGTGCAGTTCTCAGGAAGGCCAGAAGAGGGTGCTGGTTCCCCAGAACAGGAATTCCTGGTGGTTGTGAGCAGTCTGATGCAGGTGCCGGAAACTTAACCCAGGTCCTCGTAAGAACAAGTGACAAATGCTTTTAATGGCTTAGCCATCTCTGCAACACAAACTTTTAAAATGAAACCTTTCTTGTTTTGGTGTTTTTGAGAGAAGTCTTACATAGTCCAGGCTAGTCTCTTGCCTCTGTCTGACAGGTAACAAACATAAGTTTATCCCCCTCCATGGGGGTGGTGAGGTGGAGGAGCGGGGGTGGGGTGGGGGGTGGGGAGCTAGTACACCTTTTTAATCTAAGAAAAATATTTAGCCAAACTGTGGTAATTCATTCCTTTAGAGCAGCCAGTGCTACACAGAGAAACCCTGACTCAAAAAAAAATTAAAAACCATACTTTAATTTTCTGTATGACAATACAGTTTAAATATTAAATAACTCTGTAGCAGAAGAATTTGATATTGTTTTAAGTGGAAGAAAAAATGAGAAAATTTCAGATTACAAAATCCCCATCCCCCAAAACAAATACACCAGGAACACATCAACCTTCTTTCCCTTCGGTTTTTGGAAACAGGGTTTCTCTATGTAGCCCTGGCTGTCCTGGAACTTACAGTGTAGATCAGGCTGCCTCCAACTCAGAGACCCACCTGTCTCTGCTTCCTGCGTGCTGGGATTAAAGGCGTGCACCACCAGTGCCGGGCTTTACAATGTCTTTTCTAAGTGTATTAATGGGGCAGATGTCACAGCTCTCTTTGTTACACCGATGTCCATGGAGTTAAGAAGAGGGGTCCAACTGCCACGCCCTTGGAGGAAGGACACAAGCTGGATCTTTTGGGATGCAGAAACTGTTTTTGCTACATCAATACACAGAAAACTGAACCCACAGAAAAACAAGCAAACCCAAAACCAACTACTAGGAAAAAAGTTAGCTTTATATTCTCTTTCATGACTCATTTGTTCTCTCTCTCTCTCTCTCTCTCTCTCTCTCTCTCTCTCTCTCTCTCTCTCTCTCTCTCTCTCTCTCTCTCTCCTTTCTAAGGGTTAGGCTTTACCCACACCCACACCTGCTTACACTATGGCTAGGATCCCCAAATGAGGGGGAATGTGTTTTTGTTTTTTCCTTCCTTCCTTCCTTCCTTCCTTCCTTCCTTCCTTCCTTCCTTCCATCCTTCCTTCCTTCTTTCTTTCTTTTCTCTCTCTCTCTCTCTCTCTCTCTCTCTCTCTCTCTCTTTCTGATCACCTTACTTAATATTGTACTTTCTAGATTCATTCATTTTCCTGCAAATTTCACAAACCTTTAAAAAATGTTATAATTCGTGCAGGGAAAAACACACACTCGGGTGCTGGAGCAATTGCTCAGTGGTAAGAGCACTGGCTGTTCTTCCAAAGGACCTGGGTTCAATTCCCAGCCCCAGAAGACAGCTCACTACTGTCTGTGACTCTAGTCCTGGGGGACTGAACACCCTCCTGTAGCCTCCATGGGCACTGCACACACAGTACACAAATATATTGCAGGCAAAACACTCATAAACATTAAAGTAAAAAAAAAAGAAAACACATGTTACAATGCACAGTTCAGAACCTTATTTCTTTTTTTAATTTTTGTGTGTGCAGGTGTGTACAGCCCTGTGGAGGTCAAAGGTAAATGTCAAAATTTTCCTGTTATTTATTTATTTTTGGTTTTTCGAGACAGGGTTTCTCTGTGGCTTTGGAGACTGTCCTGGAACTCGCTCTTGTAGACCAGACTGGCCTCGAACTCACAGAGATCCGCCTGCCTCTGCCTCCGGAGTGCTGGGATTAAAGGCGTGCACCTCCAATGCCCAGCTGTTTTCCATTATTGCTCTCCTCATTTTTATACTTATCTGTCTACCTACCTATCGGCAGGGTCCATCTCTGAAGCTAGAGCTCACCCATTGGCTAGACTCGCTGGCTGCCTACCAAGCCCCGGTGATCTTCCTGTCTCCACCTCCCCAGTGCCAGATTAGTGGTGTATACTGCTGCGCCCAGCTGTTTGTGTGGGTGCTGTGGGTCTGACTGGGATCCCCATACCCACATGGCACTTTACCATCAGCAGACTTTTATAAGTGAGTGGGGGTGGGGAGATGGTAGCCGCCAGAGGAAGAAGCAGAAACCCTCCCATGTGTGTATCCAGACCAATCCGGTCCTAAGTGCAGCATCCGTCTGTTTCCTGACTGTGGATGTGTTGCGACCAGCCCCCTTGTGCCCCTGCTGCAATGGCTTTCCCGCCACAGTGGACTGCACTCAAACTGCGAGCCTAAATAAACTCTTCCTTGAGTTGCTCTGCTCTCACAGAAGTGAGAAACTAATGGAGCCCCAGGTTTTCTCGTCCTCCGTCTCCGGTGAACATTTGAGC